TGTTTCCTGTCCTGTTTCTTTTTCTTTTTCTGCCCCTCTCAGCCAACTAGGCTATATTCTCCTCCTCCACCACCTTCTGAACACCGGAAAATCCCTTTTAGGCATGCCTTTATTTTGTATAATCAACAGATACTTAAAGAGAGGCAAATAGATTTCCTTAACAAATAAATTTGTAAAGTGATTCATTGTTTTCAGTGAGGTTCATTCTTTAGTTTTGTATGTTGATCAGGAATAAAATATCTCAGAGATATCCTTCTCCTCTCCTGAAGATTCACTTAAAGTTCCTGGCCCTGTAGATCTTTCAGAAAATTGCATCATAACTGATGACCATTATGTTGTTCCTATTTTTTTTTTAATCAGACACCCTGACAAATTGTCCCATGGACAATAGATAATTTCTAAGGATAAATTTAATAGGTCCTTTACATCTTTCCTGCCAGGTCTTACATACATGAGAAGTGGGATGTTGATGCATACTGTACATTCATAAGGCTGAGAATACTACCTGTTAGCTAGTTTGTACTGGTATTATTCAGTGCTTAAATATTCAGTGTCATAATGAAGAATGTATATCACACAAGAATGATACTGTTGAATTAAAACTACAGTAGTTCTTACTTAACATCCATTCATTCAGCAACTGTTTGAAGTTACAATGGTGCTGAACAAAGGGACTTACAACTGGTCCTTGAAGTTCCAGCCATTGCAGTGTCCCCATGGTCATGTGAACAGTGCCAGCCAGGCCCTGGCTGCTCCAGCACAAAAGAAAGACCCAGCTGGAAGTGTCCCAGCTTCTTTTGCAGAAGAAGGCCCTGGCACAGGGCACAAATGGAGGCCCCAGCTGACACGAGAGAGAAGGCCCCAACTGCACCAGCATGAAAGTGAGAACTACCTGTATATGCAAAATTCTACAAAGCAGGTCTTCTTTCAAAATATGCTTATTCCATCAGGTTGTTTAGATCTGACAAAAAGAAATGAAGCTTGATTTTTCTTAACTCTTCAAATATCAGCAAGAGTAATATCCTCTTACTGTGCTTTTGCAAATTTGTTTTGTCAGTTCAGGTCAGTTGCTTATGTCAAAGAGAGTAACAAATGTGTTCGGGTACAAAGAGTGCAGTGGGGAGAGGGAGGAGGAGGAGGCAAAGTGGCTCGCATGTCATATGTGTAAATGGGGCCAGGATACATGTTTGGAAAGTGGAGCTTTGGGATTGCTCTGCTATCTATGGTGAAGCTGACATCCTATATGTGTTTTTTCTTGCCAGATTAAAGCAATGTTAATTCTTCATTGCTGCCTGGTACTTGAATGGTTTTGATCCCTGATTCTGCCACTCTCATTTCAGATAGTGCCGCTCCTGAAACTTTCTGATGTGATAATTATTGGGCAATGATTTCCTTTTCAGTAACATGGTATCTGTTGTATACATTCCAAGTGGCTATTCAGATGCCTAATTTTGATGTAATAGATTTATGTTTTGTTCTGTGATTGATTCTTTGGCCAGTCTCAAACTTTACACCAGCATCCTGGCCACTGTTATCCACCAATGCAGGTGCAGCTACCCAAAATATGGTAGCATTTCCAGATCTGATTTATCCCTTGATTATATTCACACATCTGGTTTTATGATCCCTCAGCAGGGGTCCAGCCCTTCTCCTTTATGCAGATTTGGGACTGGCTGCACTTTTCCTGCAGGTGGAGTTGCAGACACAATTTAAGCACACATATAGTGTTCACCTATCAAAATTAGCCCAAACGATATCAAAGACATATTTTTTATGGCCAACTAGCACACTTTTGACTATATACCCAAGGAGGATTTAGTCAAGTAGCTGGTGACTTCACTGCCCATGGGTGTAAGAAGCTGCAAGACTCAGATCCCAATGAAACAACTCCCACTGAAAGCTAGTAAGATAGGTTAATTGATTGCGAGGCTCCTGACAATGGGAGAACAGATAGGACTACTGGGAAGAAACTCTTGAAAATTTGGACTCAGCGAGTTAAACATGGTGTCAGACTGGTGTCATTTGCAGCAACCAATGGCTTACTAGTAGGAAAAAAACTTCACCTCCACCCCAATCCCCAAAAGCATCAGCTCATGTGGTATGCCACAAATGGCAAAGATACATTGACCCTAAACTATGTTCTAGTCAACATGGCTTTCGATTATTGTAGTAGAATATTTTATGGGTATATTTGAACTGGACACCAGGACACATTACATTGAAGCACAGCTTGGTTTATTGGCAGCGCTGAAGGCAAAGACAGGCCTAAAGAGAAGTGGGGTGACAGTCTCTCTGTATAGACGTATGCAAAGTAGAATATACATGTGATTGGATAGAGCAGCCAAGTATTTCATTGGATATAGTACATTATGTGCCTAGTGAAGTCAATGAGGCCATTAGGGTATAACTATGAGGTAATGAGGCTGGACTACAAAAACAAGGAGGCAGTTATTCCAAGAACATCGTTTCTTTCTAGGGAGTTACTTTCTTTTACTTTCCCAGAACTCTTCTTGCCTCCCAGTATCTTTTCCCAACTTATTGGCCTTCTGAATGTTGTATGGCTAACCTGACAGTGTAACTTTCCTGAGAAAGTGTTTTTGTAGTGGGTAGCTGCCCAATTTGGCACAACATAGCTGCACCTGTGCTTTGTTTTCTCTGAGAAGATGTATTTAGGTTAGGGGCTTTAACCTGACCCCACAAAATTTCCTACAATTCCCTCTTCTGAAGTTTGAAATATTTTATTATTTTAAGCTTCATCGTCCATCAAAGATGTACACATGATGCAAGGTGTTGATTGCAGCTCCAATCATTGCAGTACTTAGTCTGTACAAAGATTCAATTTAAACTCCAGTGCATAAAATGATGGGTGGTACCATCAGCAAAGCAGTAGTGGTCAAAACTGGCTGAATCAGGATGTAAATGAGAATTCCAAACATAATTAGCAAACCAATTTGCCATCCTGATGTCAGCCCTCCCAGGTAAACCAGACAGGAAACATGTCCAGATGAGATACTTCTACTTTACTGATAGGCTAAATTAACAGAATCTTGCAAGTCTGAAAGTACAAATCTCCTGCTGTCACTATTTACCACCTGATCAGTTAGGGCGGGTCCTTTCAAAGTTCCTTTCTCTGCCCATTATTCAGTTGAGGGCTCCTCCCCCTTTTATCAGATCGTTCCCTAGATGGTATCTCTCCCCCGCCATCTCGTCTTCCAAAGTCATTCTCACATTCCATTACACCTGCTGACACTGCTTGATGATGTGAACATGGAAGAAAACCAAATATCTGAAGCTATCTATGGCTGTGACAAAAGTGTGTGCCTGACCATATGACTCTGAACACCCTATGGGTCTTGGAGAATGCCTAGATTTGGTAGACCAACACAAAGAAGCCAAACTGGGTAACAGTGCTCAGTACATTGTGAAATTTACCATCAGCCAAAGGCAGAGTGTGAGGCACACTAGAACACCCTGACTCTAGAATTGGAAGACACTAAGCAAAAATGTGAGTCTCATGAACTCTTTATCATTCTCAAATGCCTAACTGGAAGGAATAAACAAACACACTCTCTATCTCTATCTCTATCTCTATCTCTATCTCTATCTCTATCTCTATCTCTATCTCTATCTCTATCTGATATTTTATATCTGAACATATGTAAACTATATTTGTATCTAGGGTATATTTCACCATAAATATATTCTATATAGCATTTAGATTTACTTCTAAACTCTCAATATCATGGTGCTAGTTTTTCTTTCATTTTGATCTTCAGATGATCTATAAAATAAAATTTGTTTTCAAATACCTAATAAATCTAATAACACCACATATTTTCTTTAAATAATTGAGTTGTTTACTAACCATACTGTTAGGTTTCGAGCTGATTTTTCTTAAGGATTTCAGAATTCATTATTATGTTCTGGAATTGTTGTCATTGTTGTTCTGTGTTTCAACTTCCTTTCTTTTCCCCTCTATCTCATTAAAAGAAATATGCAGCAGTAAAATCTCAACAGCCATTTGACAATATATGCAAATGTGCTAAATAGCTTTGAAGCAGACAAGAAGAAAGAGTAACTCTCCCAATAAGCTTGGATGCATACGAAGTCTTTTCCATAATGAATGTGGCCAGATTTTAACAAAGGCCATGCATAATAAAAATGTAAATGAGTTTGCTTTACTAAAAGTATAACTTTAAAGTCTTTTGTTGTGTGCTGTCCTGGAACTTTCCTACGAGGTTATCACTGTTTGCATGGAGATTTAAACCAAAACCTTCAATGGCATTTTTTTTAAAAAAAACCCAAACCCAACAGCCTATGTGTGATGTGCATGCAAAGCTGCTCTAATGCTGAGAACATGAATTGGCTCTGGGTGGCTTCGGCACTGAGCAGAAAGCCAACTATGTTGCTATAAGGCTGCCTGATGGACTCCGTGTGGCTCCCAGCCTGGAAATTTCACCGATCTTGACGTGTGATGCACTCGTCACTGCAGTGGCAGCCCTGTCACTGAGAAATGGCACAAAGACAGCAAGGCACCCCTCCCTCTCCTTAGCCCTGCACTTTGCAGCCCCCTGGAGCTGTCTGCCCATGGTTTCTCTTGCCTGCCTAGTTACAGACGGCCCTTCTAAACTGCGAGATAAGAGTGGGTGGACTGGATAGGCCCCAGCTGCCTTTGGGATGCAGCTTCCACAATAAATTGGCCTGAATGATGAGGGCAAACAAACAGTATGATATGTATTGTGCCTGTCAATAATACATCCCCACATGTTTCCGTCTTTGTATGAGGGGGACCACAGCTTTTCTTCGGCAAGTTCTACTTCGTCTCCTAGCTTTTCCTCCCATTCATATTATAACTTACATGACAGGATTCAGAAATTTTTATGATAGCGGCATTGTATAACTTATTGTGTATCCATCCCCCCCGTCCCAGCATCAGATTTACATTTTTTTGTTCTTTTATGCCTCTTGCCTTAGAAATAGATGGCTTCTTAATCTTTCAGCTTCAACGTGAAGGGTACGTTGAGCTGGACTTCCATCGCCAACAGATGCGAGAATTGAGAGAACAAATGACTAGCCTGCTTGAAAAAAACGCACAGCTTCAAGAAACTGTGAAACATGGAGTGAAAGAACACACTAACTTAGGTAAAATTTCCTTGTAAATCAACCACTAGAGAGAACTATGTATGCAGGAAAACAGAAAGAGAACAGTTGGTGGCAGAATAGTGTCTAACCAGCAGTTGTTCATTTCTTTCTGTTTTGCTCTGTAATTTGAGTTGGTCTTGAACTTTGATGGTCTCAGTGGAATTAATTTATATTGAGTATAAGTTTATTTTCTGGGTTTTTATTCTGGTAGAAAGAAGTCTGTTATCTATGAATGTCAAAGCTTTTAATATTTACAGATTAATAATTTTTTCTACTTCTAACAAGACAACAGTGTTTATAAACTCCTACTGAATATTCAATAAATGAAGAAATTTAGGAAAAATATCTGTTAATGAGGTGTACATATTATAATGCCATTTTTACTGGTTACTCCTTGACAGGTCATAAATTTCAGAGCTTAGTTTTCCCTATATTTCATAGTTCTTTTAAAAATATTCTAATCTTATAGCATCTTAAAACACATGTGTATTTTTAAGAAAGTATGTGCCTGCACATAGATTACCTCTCCTTGCTGCACACTGAATACTGGAAAGCTAGAAATGTGCAAATATAAACAATTTCTGCCTCCTAGTAGTTAAGAAGTTTTAGAGCAATTAAGGTCATACCAAAACCAGATGTAAAGACATGCTAACAATAATAAAGAGCAATGACATACATGTGGCAAAAACAAAACACAGAAATAAAGATATAGCAATGTTGCTGTTGGATGGGAATATGAACCAACATGAAGCCAACATTATTGCAGTTTTATCACCTCCCATGACTGTGATCTTGCCCCTATCCCTTGCAATATTTAGAAACTTGGTTTGAGCAATAAAGAACCACCTGCTAAAGCATTTTGTATTAGCTGTGACTAACGGCACAGATGAGTATTAATGAAAAGCAAAGGGTGCTCAGACACACTTGGCTCTTGAACTTATTTCTTAATCTCCCTCTCTCTGACCAGCCAGCTGAACAGCAGGCAGAAGTCTGTGAAGGTCAAGGGCAGTTGTGGAGGTCACCAGTCTGCCCATTGCCTTCATCCACCATGCACCCGACTGACCTGCAGTGCACAATATGAATCTATTCAAATAGCCATGTAATTTCATGGTCTGCTTTATTCCCGCCCTACCCTTGCTTCTTTCAGAGGCTGAAATGAAACTTATGCAGAACCAAAGAGAAAAAGATATGAAGGCAATGGAAAAGGTACTGTATCCTTTATTTATTTATGTCAGTGATGGATTAGCTTGTATGAAAGATGCAGGAGTCTGGGAGTTCACCAAAAGAATATTCAAAAGTAAATCATTACCCTTCTGTTGTTCCTAACTTGCTATCCTTTATAAATCAGAAAAATTGTTTTCAAAATAAAGGATTTCTGGGAGAAGAGGGTGGAAATCTTGCATCCTGAAGTTTACCTGGGTTAGATGCAGGATGGAAAAGCAGAATGAAATACCAACTCATATAAATGGAAAGCAGTATGAAGTTTCTAATTTGCCAAGTCTGGTATTATTCCATCTAATAGCAATTTCAGGTGACTGAATGACTCACTTTTTGGAAACAGAATGGAATCATAAAAAAAAATCATTATTATGAATTATACATATTAGAGGAATTTTCTAAATATGCGAGAGTACAGATGTTAGTAAATACAATTAAACATTTGATTTTTAAAACCTCCAAGTTGGTAATGGGTTAAAGGACATAAAGAACTTTTCTTTATTCCTTTAGACCCTGGACATGGTGGTATTTCAGAAAGCGGGGGTGGATTAAGAGGCAGGAAAGTGTTTTGATGGTAGAAAAGTGAGGTAAGTCATCCCTGCTGGATTTGTGGAGTCCAGTAGTCATTCTGTTGAGTGAGGCTTTGGATTTCCTCCATAAAGTTTATTTTGATACTACTGCTGCTGAAGGAACCAAAAAATCAAACAAATATTTTGAGCCTTATCTTTAAAATCAGTACTTAAGAACAGTTGAGATTTAGAATGATGCTTGAGGGAAATGGAGGCCAGGGAAACTGATCTTCATCCCATTTAATGTCTCAGGTAAGAAGTTGTTCACATTAACTTCTTCCTGAACCTTGGTTGACTGGAAATATCAGGGATGGAAATGTGTCTTTCTGTAAGCAAAGAACATATCATACCACTAAAATGTGGCTCCTCCCAAAAAGCTCAGTGACAGAGTTTGTGTTTAGCAGATTGTTGTCATTCAGATCAGTGAGTGTGTAGTATAGAGCTGGATACATTTTAGCAGCACAAAGTATGCCCAGCCAAAAAGGGGTTCAGTTGAAAGACTCAATAAAAAATAGTGCTTTCAGTCAGAACTAAGTGACCTGATGGCAGTAATAAATCACTTTTATCTGGTGGTCATGGGCAAGTTTTGACCAATGGCAAGTACCATTCTGTTCCATACCAGTATTTCTGAACTGATGAGATGGAGAATGGAAGGAGCTAGTAGTCAAAGTTTTCCTTCACTCTGTCAAATTTAATATACATAATTTTTCAAGGCATATATTTTCAGACAACTTCTAGAACATCTAACTTTAAAAAAAAAAAAATACTTTCCTTTTATAATCTAAAGCTCCATAATTGTGTTTTAAAAATTAGCTAATGAATGCTCAAGATTTACTGAAGTTGGAACTTGAGAAAGAGAAGCAGAAAGTTCTAGCAAAAGCTCAGGTAAGATCCTGTTCAAAAGAATTAAAGTGTTAGACAAATCTTTTTTTCAGTCTGCCTCTCCTGAGACTGGAAAACAGATTGTTGTGATGATATGCGTACAAATGTTATGCCCAATATTTCACTCTTCAGATTTTCTCATTAACATTTGTGATTTGCATTTGAACTTCAAAATTCACCCAATTTTATGCCAGCAGGCCCCCATCATCAACCAAATAATTATATTGCTGTCTATTTTGGGGAGATGTGTATTACCTTTGAAAACTGGAATTTTCAAAGCAGCTCAGTGTAGTGTTTATTGTGGAGAATATATTTATACTAGATCTCCTCATGATATCTTAAGGCCCATGAGAGTTGCTATTTTGCATGTGTTCTATGTTTTTTCTGAGCTTTATGAAAATGAATGTGAATAAATAGTGATCTCAGAATTAATTTTTCTTTTGCTGTTGGAAACATCAGAATTGCCATCACTATTTACCATTACATAAATCAAAAAGCCATCTCTATAAACTTTTCAGTATTTGGCACAGTTCACTCAATTCACTGTTGCTTAAAAAAAATCAATATTCCTGATGGTTCTAATTATACTTTTAATCTCTTTTTTATTTTTTCTATTGCCCCTTAATTATAGTAACTTGGTTTCATGTATATTTTTGTTGCAGCAGGCTGAGATTTGTCATATTGTTTTTAAAATACATAAAAATCAAACACAGCTTGACTTGTTTTTTTTCAAATTTGCCAAAGAATGCTAATGTTCAAAATAGAAGAGGTTATGAATGGCAAACCAAGTGTGTTAAATATTCACTTCTTTTTTGCATTCATTATATTTTGTGCCTAGTTACAGCTGCTCTGTTTATTCTATTTTGTTAGTCTTAGCACTGTGTAGGTCCTTGAGCAGAAGATCAAACCTGGCAAATCCATATTCTTTCATTACAGAGCTGTAAAAAGGGAGAGAGAGAAGGACAAGGGTCTTCAGAAACTGTTGCAGCACAGAGGAGCATTTGAAAAAATTTCTGTTTCTATTTTTATAAATGGCCAATATGTTGTCATTTGTTTTTAAGACAATCCATTCCTTACAGAGCAATGAAGAGTTTTTAATATTGCATTATGCTAAACACTGATGGGGAATCAATGAACCTTTAGGGATCATTGAATTGTGATACCAGCAGCCCCCTGCTTGAATGACTGAGTGAGGGATGCTGGGAATTGCAGTTTTGCAACAACAAAATGGTCACATTCCAGTTATAGCCAATATCCAGTTCAGCATTCTACACAATTTTAGAAGCAAGAATAACTCAATTCAAGTTAGAAAATAATTCATTTGCTCAAAATGAGATATCTAAATGCAGTGTAACACTATACAAAAGGGGAATAACTATGAAGTGACCTCCCCAAAGCTGCCTTGTGGATAATAATCACCACATAGAACAGTATTATAGTAGACATTTGGCGAGTGGAGAGAGTCTCCTATTTTAACAGAAAGGAGGAGGAGGAGGAGGTCATTTTATCTGCCCTCATTTTTAAATATTCATTTTAACTTCCTTGCAATCTGATAACATGTTTGCAATTCTTTCAGCTAACAAGTTTAAAAGAGCTGATAGAATCTTACTGCAGCAGGATCATGAGAAATATAATGATAAATAAAATCCTTCATGGTTAAAGAAGACAATGATGTTTAAGATTCATAAACATTAGTTTTGGCGTATTTATGTTGCTAATTTAGCAAACACTGCTAGAATCATTAACATAAGATGAATTAATTTGTGCTTTTTAAGAAATATGTCTAATAACATATCCACTGACCTAAATACTTTTGTAAATACTTTTGTCCTTAACTCCACCTTTGTAAGTGGGGAAAAATTGCATGTGAGAACGAACACCATTGTTCATATTGGAACTTAGTTCTATACATTAGTTTGTATTGTAAATAAAGGAAAATAAATATCTCCCTTCTAGTGATGGGGTTTTCATACATTTGTTATTGCAGTCATGTTTAATTCTATTTTATCTTTATTTTTAAGGAAGTAAAAGAAGCTCAAGATGCTCTTGCAAAATTACAAGAAACTGCAGCTCACCCAGTAACAAAGGTGATTTAGTCTATTGGCTGTGAATGTATTTTATTTTATTGTATGCTATTATGGGAGGTACCTTCCATATTTTATATTTTATTTCTTTGTTTTTGAATTGAACGCAGTTTAGCTTCTTACTCAGATTTAATGGAATATAGGAGTGACTTGTGTAGGTTACCCTAAAACACCCCTATGCAATACATTGTGGTAAGAATAGATGAAGGATACTACCAGATGAGACCCAAAGTTCTGTCTAGCCCAGTGCTCTGTTTCCAGTTGTGGCCAGTCAGACATGTCCACTGATACAGCATGAAGGTAACAGACTGCCTTTGTTTGCTATTCAGAAGTGGATTAAGAACATTAAAGTTCCATTTAGCTAATAGCTACATTAAAGATTTTAGAAATAAGTACACAAGGATACATAAATATTAATATATAAATATATATTGTTACATGTAAGATATATCTTAGATATAAATAGTAAACCCATTCTACCTAGGTGCATGAGGAAAGCAAAAACAGGATCAAAGAAACCACATGCTTTATAAAAAAATTTAAAATAATTATAGGAAAAGAAACTTAAAGTAGCGAATGGGAACTGTTCACTGAGGGTTGAGCATGATGATTGAGCATGATGTCTCTCAAAACATGTCTTGCTCCAGATTTGCTTTCAGTTGATTATCAACAAAGAATGAGTTAGAAGTTAGAAGTTCAGATTATACAGCTTAGCATCTGAAACTCTAGCGAGGCTTCATAGAACACTTTTTGCAAGAACCATATTCCTTTCAGCAAGCTTAAAAACAAAACCCAATATTTACAGGTGATCACTTTATTCAAAATCTTGTTGGTTATGGTTCTGATTCTTTAACATTTTCCATGCAGTGTGTTCTAGTATATGGATGAGTCAGCAGGTGCTTTAAATAATAAAGGGTTGTTTTTGTATTCCTTCCCAAAGATACCCTTAATTTAGAGCTGATAAAGCCGTGTTTGACTAAAGGCTACTGTTATCCTACATCTTTCTCAAACTTCAAATAATGGCACACAGCAAGCAAGTGCTCAGAAGTTAATGTCTAAATCCATGTATAACTCACCTGCTTCTTTGATGCTGTACTGGCTGCAAGAGGAATTTGCTTTCCTTTATTAATCAAACCTATATTTGTAAAAGTCTGACATGTAGTGGGAAAGCCACACATGCTGAGATTAGCTGGACTGGAAAACAGTCCCAAAAGAAAGGAGAGAAATATGATCAGTTAATTATAATGTGGTAAATAGTTTTGAAATATCTGTGGTTTGTTTTCAGATAAAAAATGTAATGTGTTATCAAGATGTTTGTGTTTGCTATATTTAAGAGGGTAACCCAGTAACTAATATATCAGTGTCATTTTTCTGTTAAACATGAATCCCCAGTAAATTATTTTGTAGCATCAACTGCATCTAGGCTGCAACCTAAGAGAAGGCTCATTTCCCTTTGTGTTTGACGTGGTTTAAGGAAGCCATTATGAATGGGCTTTCTGGATTTAAGCATGGCAGCGGAATGCCCTGAACTGGGACTGAAGAATTTATTTTGAATTGGGAAAATTCTACATTATTAATACAGCAAACATAGAAAGAATAAGATAGTAAAAGGCTGTGTGTCTGATGGCTTGCTTTTCTACCTCATATCAATTAAAAATGGAAAATTAATTTCTTTCTATACAAAAATCATTCTCCTTTCAAAGATACATTTTTAAGGCATGAATAATATTTTCTTCCAGTCCACCTTCTTCATTTAGTTCATTTTAACTCATTTTATGACAGTCCTGTAATTATATATTTGGAAGTCAGCTCTTCAAAGATCATTTCGAGTCCCAAGAAATGACCGTATGATTCCAGTCTTACAGTACAAAAATACATTTTTAAAAAATCAAAGAGAACAATGTGATGTGGGCAGAGACAAAGAGAATCATGATTTGCCATATCTGACAAATGTAAAGCTGAAGATTCTGAACCCAGTATTTTCTGACTCACCACTGTTGTAGAAAGACAGACATTAACATAAGGAAACAAAGTATTAATTGATGAAATGTAGTAAGAGATAGTACCTCTGATAACATAACTAAAGTAACAGAGTGTTTCCCCCTTTAACAAAACAATAATTCCAACACCCTCTGTCCCATCACAGCCAACACCCAGCATCTATTCCTAATTCATTCAATGTGTCTAATTAGACATTGCTTAGACTACCAGATCTAGGCTGCAAAACTCCAAACAGCCAATAAATGGCACCAAAAACATACAGAAAACTCTTTGCTGTCTTCTAATAGCTGTCTTGATTTTTGCAGTGAAGCTTTTTATGTGAGTAGGTCAGTAAACAGAATTATCTGGGTACTTTGGGCTGTTATTCAGAGGCATACTGGAAAGTGTACAATGAAGTTCATAAAGCAGCATAAGAGAAAGTAGAATATAATTGTGATTAAACACATATATGCCTTGTTCAATATTTATCTTCTAACACAGATTTGGTGAAGTAGCCTGAATTATGGGTAGATACAGTGGTGGGCACCTGTTAGGATTTCACAAGGTTCCTTACACCTTATGTTTGTATATATCTGAGCAATATTTGCACAAGAAAAAATATTTTTGTACTAAAAAAATAAAAACAAAGTAAATTTAATATGTTTTACTCAGCACAAGTTCTTGAGTTGCCTGATGCTTGCATATGTATAACTACAGCTGTGTAATAAATTTGTTTAGCTGTCAAACAGCGGAGTTCAGCCAGAAAGCACTAGTGTACAGTTCTTCACAAAGAGAAATTATTTTATTGATTGATTGATTGTGTGCAGTCAAATTGGCGTTGACTCCTAATTATTACATAGATAGACCTATTCAAGGATGATCTGTTCCCAAATCTGGCCCTTCAGGTCTTCCAGCACCCATTGCTACTGTAATCAAATCCATCCACCATGCTGCTGGTCATCCTCTTCTCTTTCCTTCTATCTTTCCCAGCATTACAGACTTCTCAAAAGAGCTGGCTCTTCATATAATAAGTCCAAAGTGTGATCATTTCAGCCTGATCATCTGGACCTTGAGTGAAAACTCTGGATTGATTTGTTTTGTTATTCATTTGTTTATTTCTTGGCTATCCATGTATTCTCAGGAGTTTCTCCAACATCAAAGTGCAAAAGCATCAATGCTCTTTCTATTCTATTTCTTCAAGGTCCAACTTTTGCTTCCATAGAGAATCACAGAGGAAACCACTGCCTGCACAATTTTGATCTTTTCAGGTATAGGCACATTGTAGCATCTAAATATCTTTTCTTCATTGCTATCCTACCAAGTGCTAGTCTGCAGCATATATCTGGACTTTGCTGTTGATATTTGATCCTAAAGGCAGAAGCTATCCACCACTTTAACGTCTTCAGTGTCAATTCTAAGACTTCCTACCTGTTGTTATTAGTCTGGTCTTCTTTATATTTAAACTTAGTCCCAATTTTTCACTGTGCTCCTTGTCTTTCATTACTAGAGCTTGCAGATCATTTGCATTTTCAACCAGTAGTGAAAAAAAAGCAGACTAGTGTCATCAATATAGAGCCGGTTATTGGTGTTTCTTCCTCCAGTTTTAAAACCACACTAACCTTCCAATTCAACTTCCTTCAATATATATTCATCATATAGGTTGAATAAATTAAGAGAAAATATACAGCCTTGTCTCACTCCTTTGCTAACCTGGAGCCAGTCTGTTTTGCCATGCTCCATCCAGGCTGTGGTTTCCTGTCCAGTTTATAGATTTCACATGAAGAAAAGTGATGTTCTGGGATTCCCATTTTCTTAAGCACTTACCAAGGCTTGACGTTGTCGACGCAATTGAAGACCTTTCTGTAATCAATGAGGGACATATTAACTTCTTTTTAGTATTATTTAGCTTTCTCAATTATCCAGTGCAGATCAGCTATAACATCTTTTGTTCCCCAACCTTTTCTAAGTCAAATGTGACCATTTGGTATCTCCCTTTCTATGTAGGCCTCTAATCTGCATTGCATGATCCTAAGCATTATTTTGCTAACATGTGAAATCAACAATATTGTCCAATAGGTTGCACACTCTGTTAAGTCTTCTTTCTTGATATTGGTATGTAGACTTTGTGTGTTGAATTTTTTGGCCACTGTATTGTTCTCCAGATTGCTGGCATAGTTTGGTTAGAACCTTTCTGATTCTTCTTCTGTTGCTTGCCATATTGTGTAGATATTCCATCAATTTCTGTAACCTTCCAACTTGGTAATGACCAGAGTGCTGATCTAACATCATCTTCTAGTACTAGAGGTTCGTATGATTAGGGAATATCTTCCAAGTTGTCTTGGATGTTGACCTCTCTACTGTGCAGAATTTCGGTCTACACACTCCATCTTTGTTTGATAGTCTTTGAATCAGTTACTATCCCATTCTTTGGTGTCTTTTAGCATACCAATTCAAGATGGAACCTCCTCCTGAGTTCAGAGACCTTTTGGAAGAGGGAGTGGTATCTGTCACCTTTAAAAAGACAGTGATGTACCCTGTCTAAAACTGCCCATCTCTTGGGTCCATAACATTAAACAATTTTCACCCAGTCTACAGTCTTCCCTTTTTAGAGCAGATTTTGGAGAAGGTAGCAGAGCTTCGCTGCAAAAGGATCTGGGTGAACTTAATTATATGGATACATTTCAGTCAGAATTCAGATCTGCACATGTGACAAAAATGACATGTTTGTCATCTTTGGATGACCTCCATCATGACTTAGATGATGGGAGTGCAGCAGTCTTTGTCCTGTTAGATCTCTAAGCTGCTTTTGAAACCATCAGCCATGGTTTCAGTTCAGTATCCTTCTGAACTGTCCACCAGGATTAGAGGTTGGGAGCACTGTTTTATAGTAGGTCACAACTTGGGAGTACTCCTGGATTCACATCTCCACTTAGATCACAAGCAGAAACTATGGCCAAGGATGCCTTTGCCCAGCTTCAGATACTGTGCCAGTTGCAGCTCTTTTTAGAACAGGAGGTTCTGGCAACACTCACTCATGTCCTCTTTGCCTCCAGATTCGATTGCTGCAATGCACTCTACCTTGGACTGCCCTTGAAGATTATCTGGAAACTGCAATTGGTACAAAATGCAACAGCCCACACACTGATAAGTATAAGCAAATTCAGCAGTATAACCCCTGTTTTATGACTGCTGTACTGGCTTCCAGTAGGTTTCAGAATATAGGGTAAGAACCCAGAATACTTACAAGAACTGTCTCTGCCAATTTGACTCTGGCCAACTTGTCCATCTGCTTGATGCTCTGGATTCCATTAGTTCAGGAGAAGAAGACAGGTTGAGAAGCAATGCTTCTCTGTTGCTGCCCCAGTCCTATGGAATATGCTGAGATCCAGCTAGCCTTCATTTTAATTATCTCTTAGAAAGCAGCTAAAATGGCTTTTCCACCAGACCTTTGGAGAATAACATTTGTTTGTTTGTTTTTGTTTATTGTATTTCTATGCGGCTCTGCTCAAAACAACTCACAATAGAAAACAAAGGTTACAAACATCCATATAATAATAACACTTTATTTTCTATCTGATCAGCAGTGAGGTATTTTATATTTTACTCATCTTTTATGAAAATCATTATGATAATTTTTTGTTATGATTTTGTTCATGAATCATCTAGAGAGATGAAATTGTGGTATGAAAATACTGGAAATAAATAAATAAATTGAACCATTGCATATGAAAATAAATGTCATCTGAATAAGCCTGTACTTGCTAAGAAAACATCATGGAGTCAGACTCAATTCAATGGAGTCTTATATTCAATGGAGTATAAGTACTTCAATGGAGTACTT